CAGTGTAACAACCTTCTTCCATTTTTAACCTGCCAAGTACTTTTTATAAAGGACCCTGCTACAGATATTGTGTTCTTCGATATTTTGCGGTTTGAGGACATGAATTTTGGCCTTTTTACGAATTTTTAGGCCGATATTTCTCTAATAATACGGTTAACGGTAAAGAGTGGTGCTTTAGTTTTTTTTGGAAATGTCCCTTTGAGAAGGTGGATTCTCTCTGACAACCAATTTCTTTATCTTTCTTTCGGTTGAATCTAAAGGTTATTTAAGACACTTTTTTTTTCAGAGAAATGTTTCGCTTATTCCATTGATATCAAACTTTTCTTTGTTTTATTTATTTTTCATTTGAATGTTACGCTTCCTATCTAATCAACACATGTCTTAACTTCCCTGACCCGGGGAATCTAACCTTTTGAACAACCTTTGTGGCGTGCAGCACCTTGATACTTTGATATAGTGTATTGTCTGCTTGCTTCATCCATTTTTGAGCTTGAAAATCATCAACTTTGGTTTGTATCCCGTGAAACATATTCTCTCTTAGTAATGGCAATATTATTTTCCTTCATAATATCAATAATTCAGGTGTTCATGAGCTCTACTCTTCCCCGGCAGACACCATAAAAAATATCAAGCTTTACAAGCTTGATACCTTAGTGTGATTGAGTGGAGATAAGAAAGAAGAAGAAGAGGTAAACGGGTATTTCTCTTCGGAATGTCTGAAAATGTAACCATTTACAAAATCACATATAATTTTATGAATTTCGAATATTTAAAATAAAAATCGTTTTTCTTTTATTAAATATAAATCAATGCTCCTTTTTTGGAGGGAATAAATAAAACATCACTCGAGTCGCGTGCTTCTTTCGCGAGTTACTCCGTTGTAAAATATTTCTTTATAAAAATGGAACAACATCTGTAGGTCTCAAACATCACATGTTGGTTGGAAGTAGAACCACAGCCACATCAACTAATGGTTTATTTAACTCCTGACATTTCACTGTCATTCTCTTCAGTGGAATGGTTGAATCCTGTTTCTACTTATATACCTACACCATTTAATAAAATATTACTTATTTCTATATATATATACACCTATCCCCCGATTTACACGGTAGATACGTTCCTGAGAAAAACGTGTAAATCGGGGGATAGGTGTACACAGAAATAAAATGCATTGACAGGTTAAAATATGTAGTCAGCACATAAGCTCGGGATTCCTCGTGAGATGTGTACACAGCGCATGTGTTCAATCACAGTAGCATTTAGTATAGTGCGATAAAAACAAAAAAACCTATTTGGAAAACCGTGTAAAAGCGAAAACGTGTGAAACAAGTACCGTGTAAATCGGGGGATAGGTGTATTATTAAAGATGTTGTATGATATATAATTTACTTAGGTTGTTTAAGTATTGTAATAACTCCACCTTTTCCGTTCCCCGGATAAAAAAGGAGGAGGGGGAGCAGTAACAAGCTCACTAAAAAACCTGGACTCAGCTGGCCATGTTGATAGTACCCTGTAAGGACTCCAGGAATACAGGATGAGTCTGTACTCAATGTTAGGAGCAGCTGCACATGGCGTCTGTTCCTCATGTCAGAAGCGGCCTTTTTTTTTTTGGAGCTAAGTCGGCCTGCCACTGAATAGTGCTTCCAATCTTAATGACAAAGGCAGACGCATTATACTTCAACCAGTCATGATGGTTGTCAAACAGACACCATCACAACTTGATATCCTAATATGATTGAGTA